TCTCTCTCTCTCTCTCTCTCTCTCTCTCTCTCTCTCTCTCTCTCTCTTTCACAGAATAAAACACGTTTCAGCGTCTGAGGGGCGCTTTATTCAGTCCATACCGCGGATATAGCACAGAGCCAGCACCTTTTTTGGTTTTCTTTTTAGCAAACGGTGCACGGATGAGCAAGCACGTACCGGCCCGGTGACTAATTGCCATAATAAGGCGCACAAGTTCGCCAGCGACTCGGCGCGTTTTTTTATTAATTTTTTTATTTCTCCGTATTACCATGTAGCCAGTGCCGCAGCGGGGAGATAATCGGGCGGAGGGAGCAGTTACAGAGAGGAGACAGAGACGAGAGAGAGAGGGGGAGAAAGAGGGAGAGAGGGGAGCTCGCAGCACATGATCGCACAGGCTATCCAGTCACTGATCAACTGGAGCATTCATAATTGCGCTGGCGACAACATATGGGAATACAACAAGGCGAGATTGTGGTCACACCTGCTTCTGGAGGACACCGGAGGACCGGTGCGGGCACTACAAAAAAAGAGAGAAAAAAGGGGCGGCCAAATGCGAGGGACTTTGCATCAAACAACCGAGAGAAAGCGTGGCATCCGAAGCACCATCCGGTAGGTGAGCCTTGATTGATGTGCACGGACTGCCAATATGCTGTTCATCATGGGATCTGGCCATGAAGGGGGTGCGGGGGGGTACAATCACCCCATCAGTGTTTCATTGCGCGTTATAGCCCCAACAGGTATTTGACACATATTAGTCCGACGTTTGAGGCTCGCTTCAAGAAATGACAAGGTCTCTATGTGAAACGATACGATCGCCTCTTTGCAAATGCCAAACCACTTGATTGAGGGTTCGCGTTTGAGTGAGCATGTCACATAATATGAGCAGTGGATTCTGGTTCGGAGGCCCAGTCTGGATAGAAATCCAAACAAAGGAGAGAATACACAATATAAAAGCTACACTGATTAGGTAGTGATGGGCATGTAATACTTAAAAAAAAAAAAAAAATATATATATATATATATATATTGAAGAAACAACATGTAATAGAGTTGTACTTATAATTTGAGTGGATTGGTGTCTGCATTTCAGTTCCAATGAGGTGGAGAACAATCAAAACGAATACATTAAAGAATCGGTCAGAATTTTTACTCAAATATCACGTAGCCTGTTATTCTGAATGGAGACTGTAAAGTTGGTGAGTTTTGATAACCTGAAGGCACGCGCACCCCACCCCACCCCCACTGCCGGGTTCCCATTGACTTATCTGACTTGTGGACGGAATGACTGCATATATTACTCCTGCAGCAGTGCCTCCCACCATGAATGCCCATTAAATTGTCATTAAGTTGGTAAAACAGTTGGATCTAATAGCGCCGCACGCTGAAATCAACACAACGTGCAGTTAATCCAAAGATGTGAATGAGAAACCGAAAACAAGTCCAATTTTCAGTACAAAAATCAAGCAACAATAGCTCTTTCAACACCTCCGAGGAAACCAGATTTCAAGCATTAATGTCTGATCGTGACAGCATTTGGGGAGAAGATGTCGACATAACCGCATTTCCAATGCAACACATTAGTTAGTGCGGTGTGCTGAATATCAGGATGAAGGTAGATTTGGCGCGGGAAACCTCTGACCAAAGCCCACAGAGGGGCACTTCCCAGAGGCGAATCAAAGCAGGTTGACGAGGACTCGTATAAATAAGGAGCTGCAGAGGCTTGAGACATGCCTGCTGCAATAACTTGCTCCAACCTGTGCACATGGCACGGGGGGGCGATAGACAAACAGATGGCGTCTCCAGAGGAATTCATCTTGTGGAAGTTGGAAGCGATATTCTTGGATGGACTACCCTCTGACTCGCCTGGCACCGAGGCCTGCGTCTGGCAGTAGTGACGGTAGCCGCGGTGAATGGCCTCGCTGATTACATCGCTCACTTTTATGACTTACCCATACCTTTTTTAAAGGAAGAAGAAAATCCCTGTAGTTTCACTGCCGCTGTGATGCTGATTAGAGTTGTTCTGATACCGATACCGGTATCTTAAAGGCCTCGGATACGGCTTAAAATGCTGGATCAGGTGTTGGCAAGTACACGAGTCTATGCGACGATCCGTTATTGCGTTATTATATCATTTTTTTGACTCATTGCGATACACAGGAACAACACGTGTCGCTCGCTAGCCGATACACACATCATGCCGGATCGGTAGTGTGCATGTGCAGCCATCGACAGAGATGAGAAGGAAACAAGACGGCTCTCTCGTTAGCTACGTCCATCACCAAAAAATGGATCCCTGCCTCCAAAATGGTTGACGGAAGTAGCCATCCTGCTTCTTTCTCATCTCTGCTGGCAATATTTCACACTGGAAAATCCCACCAGCAAAACAGCGACTCTTTGCTATCGGATCGTTACTCGGTATCGGCTGATACGCGAGTTCAGGTATCGAAATTGGGAAGGTAAACATGGTATCGCAACCTCTCTAATGGTGATGCTGCAGCGTGATGCTGAATCAAAGCGTGGCTTCAACATACATCAATGAATATGCAAGACATTAAGAATTTTGCTCTCAGATGACCAGGCACAATGCAGCCTCTTCCAGTGCTATTAAATGACTAGTGTGGCTTTCTAGTCATTTGTTCGCAGATGTAGCGGGCTCAATACAGTGCAAGGTATCCGTAGTGTGACGGTCTTTCAGCGTGTTATTTGTTGAGCTGCTTTTTATTGACACAGTCTGTGCAGCGGATCTTGGATGTGTTTATGTCGCCGTTGTTTCAGCTCTTTCATGGCGTAGCCATGCATGCTCTATGGCTGCACTGCTGAGCTGCCTCGTTGATTGCTTCATTGCATTACAGCAAAACATTTCAAATCAGTATATTGTGTCGGGTGATTAATGCCTTCGGTAAGCAGCTATGTAATAAGCGGGATAATGTAGAGGGAACCATTCATTATTGCGATCGGTCTCGAGGCTTACTTTCGATAATGACCACCTCGCTGCGAGCGTGCCTTGCTTGGCAACCTGTAGCAGATCGCAGCCTGGTGCTGCTGCTGCCAGTGCTAAGCCAGTCTCAAACCATTAGTGCTTGTTTTAATTGGCTGCGAATGCAACGTAACATTACTTACAGAGATTTGACTTATTCACGTTATTGGCGTTTGACTGATGTCCAGATCACTTTGTCCAAGCCTCTGGCAAATAAATGTAGAAATCATTCAAAACGAGCCAGAACCGGCTGCATGAAATAATTATCATAAAACAATATACAGATCAAAAGATCACTTGGATCACAGGTGGATGATGCAGTCTCAGCTCAGCCGAGCTAGCTGCCCTCAGCCACAGTACTTTTTGCTCACACTTTGAATATGCGAACATCCTGTCTATAAAACATAACTGCATAGCTATTATATATCCGTTCATGACAGCTCAGTCATTATGCGAATGACAGCCTTCCCGCTGCCCATTGTTGCCATTGCCGCTGAGAAATTGATGGTTTGCAGTGTTTGTGGTGGTCAGTAGGTGGAAACCTGTCAGAGCAGACTGGAGGTGGACTGACAAGCGGGATTAAAGCAGCTCACAGAAATAAGTGCAGATTGATTTAGACAAAAAGCACCTACACTTACTCACTCTCCAGTCATATTGTTAATTGCAAGGAAAGTCAATCCAAAAAAACCCTCCACAGTGTTGTGCTGTATTGGTAAAACTGATTAAGGAGATGCATGAGTACTAATTAGTACCACTCAGGAACAAAATGAGAAACGTATGAGCGTGTGTTCAAATGATAGGTATAAAAATGACATGTCATGAAGTAGAGCACACCTACATTTATCTGGTGGAACACATTAGAAGTGCTCTTACACTTGCGTAGCAGGGGGAAATGGGAGAGATCTAAAATTGTGTGTGAGAAATAAATGATCCTCTATATGCCATAAAAAGAAAGTGGTAGTTTCTCAGTCTCTGTTTGAGATCCAATTTCTGCAAAATGTCTGTGGGCATACACCTTTGTCAAATGGAATTCGTCATATTTTAACTCCATTTTGCATCCAACTGTTTTTGTTGTTTTAATGAAAGCTGTTCTCGAGCCTCTTACCTTTTGCATTAGCAGGAACAAAAACACAGTCCCTCTCCTCTCTTCTCCAGTGCAAGCATTAGAGGGGAGGAAGGGATGGAAAGGATGGAAGGGATGGAAAGGATGGAAGGGATGGAAGGGATGGAAAGGAAAAGGAAAGGGAAGGCTTGGCTTGGCTTGGCTTTTCTGGAACCAGTGGGGTGGTGTTGGTACCCTTGCCACAGGCCTGCACTGAGCTGGACAGCCTCTATCTTCGGCCAAGACCACAAAATAATTAGTTGTACATTTGCAGGGCAAACAGCACGTTGAACCACTGCTGACAAAACCGAGGTTCATTGGAGCGGCGTTAGTCAGCTGGCTGGGAGACATGAAAGGGGCAGTTTGTGACAGGACGTGTCTCGCTACCACCAGCTAATGAAGCATCTCCATAGCCAGTCTTAGCTCAACCTTCCACTCCACAACATCCGTCTTTCTCGTTTTCATGCTGCAAATTCTTCCATTCTGATGACAAACACCTATTAACGTCATTAACGTATGAATGGAGGTATTACATCATCTCCTTTGTGTGACTTTTTGAGCAGCCATTAGTGTATTTCATTGGTGGAGAGTTGGCAACACGGTCTTTCGTGGATTTATCCAGACATTTATTGTAAACTTCCTGCCATCCTGTGCAGCAGACGCCGAAGTTTTATGAGCGCTATTTCTTTGGCAGAGCGGGAACAGCGGTATCAGCACATGCACTCCAAACCGAAATCCTTCCAAGGCAAATAAAATGCAAATGGAAATGAAAACATTTCCAATTGTCCCCTAATTGCTGTTGATTGTTGTAATGCTGATTGAAATGAGTATGAAATATGAGACACTAATGAATCAATATTAACCAGCGGCAAGATCTTAATACTTTCAACAGTATGTGGCCTGTGCTGAATTTTTATGCGAGGTTATTAGAAGGTTATGTAGAAATAAGAAAATAAGAAGAGTTTTGTACAACAAATCAAAAATAAAACCTCTATAACTCTAATCTGGCTTTATTTATGCAGCCTAGCACGTCATTTAACAGACACCTGAGACAAAATATGTCTTTTCTGTTGCTGCGATGCATGAGATGGACATTCAAACATGTCATTTTTAATATCGATTCCAAGAATCAAAATGCAATGAAGTCGAGCACTGAAAGCATGCAAATAGACCATAATGACCACGAGCATAGCACCTATTACACAATGCATGGTGTTCATTAGTGCTGATGCTCTTTTCAGTCGCACTCACTTTGTTTTGACATGAAGAGAGGCAATTTGTATCTTAGCTTGGCCATCAATCGTCACGTCTCTGACATGCACAACTGAGAGAAAAACATAGTCCATCTTCATTTGAATCGGATGTTCGTAAACGACATATCAGTTCATTAAGGTGTCATTGTGAAGAGCAGTAAATACCAACGCTTGTTAAAGAACACCCTTATCTGTGCCTGCTTTGTAACTGGTTTGGTATTTTGTTGTTTTTTTCCCAGTTTGAACTGGTCAGATTGTTTGTTATCTCTGTGAACAGATCC